CCCAGACCACACCAACAACAACAGTCCAGACCACACCAAAACAACAGGTCCCAGACCACACCAAAACAACAGTCCCAGACCACACCAACAACAACAGTCCCAGACCACACCAACACCAACAGTCCCAGACCACACCAACACAAACAGTCCCAGACCACACCAACAACAACAGTCCCAGACCACACCAACACCAACAGTCCCAGACCACACCAACAACAACAGTCCCAGACCACACCAACAACAACAGTCCCAGACCACACCAACAACAACAGTCCCAGACCACACCAACAACAACAGTCCCAGACCACACCAACACCAACAGTCCCAGACCACACCAACAACAACAGTCCCAGACCACACCAAAACAACAGTCCCAGACCACACCAACAACAACAGTCCCAGACCACACCAACAACAACAGTCCCAGACCACACCAACACCAACAGTCCCAGACCACACCAACACCAACAGTCCCAGACCACACCAACAACAACAGTCCCAAAGCACACCAAAACAACAGTCCCAGACCACACCAAAACAACAGTCCCAGACCACACCAACAACAACAGTCCCAGACCACACCAACAACAACAGTCCCAGACCACACCAACAACAACAGTCCCAGACCACACCAAAACAACAGTCCCAGACCACACCAAAACAACAGTCCCAGACCACACCAACAACAACAGTCCCAGACCACACTAACACAACAACAGCCCCACCTAACAACAACAACAGCCCCACTCAACAACAACAACAATGCATACTAAGTGAGCACTGAACTCTTCACGACAAAGGCGCAGAGCTGCAACTGCCCTGGCTCGGGCCACTGCTGTGGCGGAAGGGGCCGGGTCTCCCCTCGAGCCGGGAGGGTACTTGGCCTACTCTTCCACACGCTGTGGAGCAGAACCTGCTGGCTCCACTGGTTCAGCATCATCATCATAACCGGTTTATATGAAGATAAAACTAAAAATGTGGGTCGGATGCAAAAAAAACTTTGAGCAACTTAGGAAATTTGGCTACAATTGAAGGTTAAGTAGCGAGTTGCGTTTGTATCACGACTTGTATATTACATAGCTGTCAACCCCTTATCTGTAGCACACTCACCACCACTACACTCACCACTAGTACACTCACCACTGGTACACTCACCACTGGTACACTCACCACTACACTCACCACCACTACACTCACCACTAGTACACTCACCACTACACTCACCACCACACTCACCACTACACTCACCACTACATGTCAACCCCTTATCTGTAGCACACTCACCAACACTACACTCACCACTACACTCACCACTAGTACACTCACCACTAGTACACTCACCACTAGTACACTCACCACCACTACACTCACCACTAGTACACTCACCACTAGTACACTCACCACTAGTACACTCACCACTAGTACACTCACCACCACACTCACCACTACTACACTCACCACCACTACACTCACCACTAGTACACTCACCACTAGTACACTCACCACCACTACACTCACCACTAGTACACTCACCACTAGTACACTCACCACTAGTACACTCACCACCACACTCACCACTACTACACTCACCACCACTACACTCACCACTAGTACACTCACCACTAGTACACTCACCACTAGTACACTCACCACCACTACACTCACCACTAGTACACACACCACTACACTCACCACTAGTACACTCACCACTAGTACACTCACCACCACACTCACCACCACACTCACCACCACACTCACCACTACACTCACCACCACACTCACCACTAGTACACTCACCACTACACTCACCACTACACTCACCACCACACTCACCACTACACTCACCACCACACTCACCACTAGTACACTCACCACTAGTACACTCACCACTAGTACACTCACCACCACACTCACCACTACACTCACCACCACACTCACCACTAGTACACTCACCACCACACTCACCACTAGTACACTCACCACCACACTCGCCACTACACTCACCACCACACTCACCACCACACTCACCACTAGTACACTCACCACCACACTCACCACTAGTACACTCACCACCACACTCACCACCACCACTACACTCACTAGTACACTCACCACTACTGCACTCACCACTACACTCACCACTACACTCACCACTAGTACACTCACTACACTCACCACTACACTCACCACTACACTCACCACCACCACCACACTCACCACTACACTCACCACCACACTCACCACTAGTACACTCACCACCACACTCACCACTAGTACACTCACCACCACACTCACCACTACACTCACCACCACCACTACACTCACTAGTACACTCACCACTACTGCACTCACCACTACACTCACCACTACACTCACCACTAGTACACTCACTACACTCACCACTACACTCACCACTACACTCACCACCACCACCACACTCACCACTACACTCACCACCACCACACTCACCACTACACTCACCACCACCACACTCACTAGTGCACTCACCACCACACTCACCAATACACTCACCACCACTCACCACTACTACACTCACCACTACCACACTCACTAGTACACTCACCACCACACTCACCACCACACTCACCACTACACTCACCACCACTCACCACTACACTCACCACTACTACACTCACCACCACCACACTCATAAGTACACTCACCACTACACTCACCACCACCACTACACTCACCACCACACTCACCACCACACTCACCACTACACTCACCACCACACTCACTAGTACACTCACCACTACACTCACCACCACCACACTCACCACTACACTCACCACCACCACACTCACTAGTACACTCACCACCACACTCACCACTACACTCACCACCACTACACTCACCACTACCACACTCACTAGTACACTCACCACCACACTCACCACCACACTCACCACTACACTCACCACCACTCACCACTACACTCACCACTACTACACTCACCACCACCACACTCATAAGTACACTCACCACTACACTCACCACCACCACTACACTCACCACCACACTCACCACCACACTCACCACTACACTCACCACCACACTCACTAGTACACTCACCACTACACTCACCACCACACTCACCTGTCAACCCCTGATCAGTGCCAGACCAAGTCAGACTTTGGTGGTCACCACGCGCCCGTTTTACATCTCAACGTTCATCCTACAAAGTTCCCACCATAAGGAGAGAAACACAAACACAAATAGACGAACATTTGTTTTTTAAACTCAATTTACGTGCACAAGAATACAGTTAAACCGTGTGAGGGTTCGGCACGGAATGATGATAAAGATGATTTTAAGATGATGATAAAGATAATCGCTTTCTTGGTTCTTTCGGTAAAGTCACGTAGAAGGGAAATAATAAAATAATAAAATAAAATAATAAAAATAATTCTCACGACGTTTCGGCTACAACGCAAGCAGCCGTCCTCAGGTGAAGAATGAAACACCACCAAGCTTCACCTGAGGACGGCTGCTTGCGTTGTGGCCGAAACGTCGTGAGAATTATTTTTATTATTTCCCTTCTACGTGACTTTACCGAAAGAACCAAGAAGATGAATCCCTGCAGTCACGAAAGAAGCTTTAAATCGAAATTTATGATAATCGCCGTCACCGATCTGACCAACATGGGCTCACACGTGGAGCCGGGAGACACGTTGCTTCTGCTGCTGGAAAGCAAGCATCGTGTTTTTTTGGGGTGCATCTTCCGTCTTCCGGAAGACGGTCAACTGCACTGGGCGCGCCCCACACCCCTCCCACCGGGATACGGGAGACATCTTCCAGAAGAGGAAGATGAAAGTGCTACCATATGTTTTTTTGTGTGCCTCTTCCGTCTTCCGGAAGACGGTCAACTGCACTGGGCGCGCCCCACACCCCTCCCACCGGGATACGGGTAGACATCTTCCAGAAGAGGAAGATGAAATTGCTACCATAAGTTTTTTTGGGTGCCTCTTCCGTCTTCCGGAAGACGGTCAACTGCACTGGGCGCGCCCCACACACCTCCCACCGAGATGCGGGAGACGTCTTCCAGAAGAGGAAGATGAAAGCTCTACCCCCCGTTTCTTTGGGGGGGAGAAGGCAGGAATCCGGTGTGGGTTGGCTCATCTTCCGGAAGAGGAAGATTGGTAGATATCTTCCGGAAGAAGAAGATGAAATATATTTCCCAGAATATTAAACATATCTTTCGGAAGAAAGTAAAAATAACAGAAGATAAAATACATATTCCAGATTAAAGTTATATCTTCCAGAAAATAAAATACGTATTCCAGATTAAAATTATATCTTCCGGAAGATAAAATACATCTTCCAGAAGATAAAATACATATTCCAGATTAAAATTATATCTTCCAGAAGATAAATACATCGTCCAGAAGATAAAATAAGTATTTCAGATTAAAATTATATCTTCCAGAATAAAAAAAATACCTATTCCAGAATATAAAATATGTATTCCAGATTAAAATTATATCTTCCAGAAGATTAAATAAGTTTTCTAGATTAAAATTATATCTTCCTGAAGATTTAATACATCTTCCAGAATATAAAATGCATCTTCAAGAAGATCAAATAAGTATTCCAGATTAAAATTATATCTTCCAGAAGATAAAGTTATATCTTCCAGAAAATCAAATATATCCTCCAGAAGATAACACATTTCCTCCAGAAGATAAAAAAATACATCTTCGAGAAGATCAAATAAGTATTTTAGATTAAAATTATATCTTCCGGAAGATAAATTCCTCTTCCAGAAGACATTCCAGAAGAAGTAACTGTCTGCCAGAAGGGGCAGAGGGCGTCTCGCATAACCCACGTCGACACCGCTCAGCCAATCAGCGACGCGGATAGGCCCGCCCCCCCCCACCCGCTGATAATTCTGACCAATCGCAGAGCCGATTTCATTCGGCACCTCCCCCCTCCCACGGTGTACCCTGAGCAAGGAGCGCTCCTATTGGCGGGTTGGTGCCCCGTGTGTTGAATAGGGGACCGGTGGTAACGGGATTAGCGGAGCGAGCGCGAAACAAACTAAACTTCAACTAATCCGACGACTTCTGAGGAATTACCGTGAGTTTTATTTACTACTTTGTTTGTTGTTGTTGTACAAACTGGGAACGCAGACGCGAGCGTTGTTACGGCTTTAAAGCAACACGGTAGCAACGATCTAATTGTATTTATTTGCTATATTAATATTTTTTTCGATTTAAAGCTTCTTTCGTGACTGCAGGGATTCGTCTTCTTGGTTCTTTCGGTAAAGTCACGTAGAAGGGAAGTAATAAAATAATAAAAAATAAAACATAATAAAATCAAATAATTCTCACGACGTTTCGGCCGCAGAGACGGCTGCTTGCGTTGTAGCCGAAACGTCGTGAGAATTATTTTATTTTATTATGTTTTATTTTTTATTATTTTATTACTTCCCTTCTACGTGACTTTACCGAAAGAACCAAGAAGATAATATTTTTTTTAATCACAGAACGCCTTAACGCAAGGGGGGGGGATCGTCACCCGAAACGTCGCCTGTCGCGTGCGCGGCCGAATGGTTGAGACAATTGGGAGTTGCAGATGCTTGGAAAGATACGCTAGAGAGACCCATAGACTCACACAGAGACCCATAGACTCACACAGAAACCCACAGACTCACACAGAGACACATAGACTCACACAGAGACACGTAGACTCACACAGAGACCCATAGACTCACACAGAGACCCATAGACTCACACAGAAACCCATAGACTCACACAGAGACCCATAGACTCACACAGAGACCCACAGACTCACACAGAGACCCATAGACTCGCACAGAAACCCATAGACTCACACAGAGACCCATAGACTCACACAGAGACCAATAGACTCACACAGAGACCCATAGACTCACACAGAACCCATAGACTCAACAGAGACCCATAGACTCACACAGAGACCCAGACTCACACAGAGACCCATAGACTCACACAGAGACCCATAGACTCACACAGAGACCCATAGACTCACACAGAGACCCATAGACTCACACAGAGACCCACAGACTCACACAGAGACCCATAGACTCACACAGAGACCCATAGACTCACACAGAACCCATAGACTCACACAGAGACCCATAGACTCACACAAAGACCCAGACTCACACAGAGACCCACAGACTCACACAGACCCATAGACTCACACAGAGACCCATAGACTCATAGAGACCCACAGACTCACACAGAGACCCATAGACTCACACAGAGACCCATAGACTCACACAGAGACCCATAGACTCACACAGAGACCCATAGACTCACACAGAGACCCATAGACTCACACAGAGACCCATAGACTCACACAGAGACCATAGACTCACACAGAGACCCATAGACTCACACAGAGACCCAGACTCACACAGAGACATAGACTCACACAGAGACCCATAGACTCACACAGAGACCATAGACTCACACAGAGACCCATAGACTCACACAGAGACCCATAGACTCACACAGAGACCCATAGACTCACACAGAGACCCATAGACTCACAGAGACCCATAGACTCACACAGAGACCCATAGACTCACACAGAGACCCATAGACTCACACAGAGACCCATAGACTCACACAGAGACCCATAGACTCACACAGAGACCCATAGACTCACACAGAGACCCATAGACTCACACAGAGACCCATAGACTCACACAGAGACCCATAGACTCACACAGAGACCCATAGACTCCACAGACATAGACTCACACAGAGACCATAGACTCACACAGAGACCCAGACTCACACAGAGACCCACAGACTCACACAGAGACCCATAGACTCACACAGAGACCCATAGACTCACACAGAGACCCATAGACTCACACAGAGACCCATAGACTCACACAGAGACCCATAGACTCACACAGAGACCCATAGACTCACACAGAGACCCATAGACTCACACAGAGACATAGACTCACACAGAGACCCATAGACTCACGTAGAGACCCACAGACTCACACAGAGACATAGACTCACACAGAGACCCATACTCACACAGAGACCCATAGACTCACACAGAGACCTAGACTCACACAGAGACCCATAGACTCACACAGAGACCCATAGACTCACACAGAACCATAGACTCACACAGAGAACCCATAGACTCACACAGAGACCCTAGACTCACACAGAGACTCACACAGAGACCCATAGACTCACACAGAGACCCATAGACTCACACAGAGACCCATAGACTCCACAGAGACCCATAGACTCACACAGAGACCCATAGACTCACACAGAGACCTACACTCACACAGAGACCCATACTCACACAGACCCATAGACTCACACAGAGACCCATAGACTCACACAGAGACCCATAGACTCACACAGAGACCTAGACTCACACAGAGACCCATAGACTCACACAGAGACCCATAGACTCACACAGAGACCCATAGACTCACACAGAGACCCATAGACTCACACAGAGACCTAACTCACACAGAGACCTAGACTCACACAGAGACCCATAGACTCACACAGAGACCCATAGACTCACACAGAGACCTAGACTCACACAGAGACCCATAGACTCACACAGAGACCCATAGACTCACACAGAGACCATAGACTCACACAGAGACCCATAGACTCACACAGAGACCCATAGACTCACACAGACCCATAGACTCACACAGAGACCCATAGACTCACACAGAGACCCATAGACTCACACAGAGACCCATAGACTCACACAGAGACCCATAGACTCACACAGAGACCCATAGACTCACACAGAGACCATAGACTCACACAGAGACCCATAGACTCACACAGACCCATAGACTCACACAGAGACCATAGACTCACACAGAGACCCATACTCACACAGAGACCCATAGACTCACACAGAGACCCACAGACTCACACAGAGACCCACAGACTCACACAGAGACCCATAGACTCACACAGAGACCCGTAGACTCACACAGAGACCCATAGTCTCACACAGAGACCCATAGACTCACACAGAGACCCATAGACTCACACAGAGACACATAGACTCACACAGAGACGCATAGACTCACACAGAGACCCATAGACTCACACAGAGACACATAGACTCACACAGAGACCCATAGACTCACACAGAGAGCCTTAGACTCACACAGAGAGCCTTAGACTCACACAGAGACCCATAGACTCACACAGAGACACATAGACTCACACAGAGGCCTATAGACCCATAGACTCACACAGAGACCCACACAGAGACCCATAGACTCACACAGAGACCCATAGACTCACACAGAGGCCCATAGACTCGCACAGAGACCCATAGACTCACACATAGACCCATAGACTCACACAGAGAGCCTTACACTCACACAGAGAGCCTTAGACTCACACATAGACCCATAGACTCACACAGAGACCCATAGACTCACACAGAGAGCCTTAGACTCACACAGAGAGCCTTAGACTCACACAGAGACCCATAGACTCACACAGAGGCCCATAGACTCGCACAGAGACCCATAGACTCACACAGAGACCCATAGACTCACACAGAGAGCCTTATACTCACACAGAGAGCCTTAGACTCACACAGAGACCCATAGACTCACACAGAGACCCATAGACTCACACAGAGAGCCTTAGACTCACACAGAGAGCCTTAGACTCACACAGAGACTCATAGACTCACACAGAGACACATAGACTTACACAGAGGCCCATCGACCCATAGACCCACACAGAGACCCATAGACTCACACACAGAGACCCATAGACTCACACAGAGACCCATAGATTCAACATACGACACCGTCTCCCCATGTATAAAACATCCCACAGTGTACTGCTGTGTTCACAGGACGCAAACACAAAAAGAAGCGCCCTCAGCAACCCCCATTGCTGGATCCCCTCCTTCAGTCACGTGGCACGGCACCCTCTGTCGCCCCACGTGTCAAAAAGGACACGACTTTCCCCCCCCTCCCCCCATCAAATGAGCGTGAAGAAATTCCAGCCAAATTTTGGCAGAAACCAGCCCCTTGAAGTCTCCCTCCTTCCCCTCCTCTCCCTCCCTCTCTCTACCTCCCTCCCCTCTCTCCCTCCCCTCCCTCCCCTCCCTCCCCTCTCCCTCCCCTCCCTCCTCTCCCTCCCCTCCTCTTCCTCCCTCCCCTCCTCTCCCCTCTCTCCCTCCTCTCCCTCCCCTCTTTTATTTTTTATTTTTTTTTTACGATCAGTGGAAACAAGAAGATGCTCGGTGTATTCGGCACTTTGCTTCGTTCATCATTTCGTAATTTTTTTTTAATTAAATTTGAATTTTTAAACTCTGCTTTATGTAAAGCCCCACCTCTCGCTCGCTCTCTCGCTCGCTCCCTCCTCTCCTCTCCTCTCCCTCTCCCCTGCTTCCACTCCCTACCACTCACTCGTTGTCCTCATCTCTTCCATCAGGCACAGCGGCGATGACGACGGCGATGACTGCGACGACGACGCCGCCGCCGTTCCAGCGACAGAGGCTCCCGCTGCCGCTGCGGTGGCTCCCGGCGCTGCTGCTCGCGCTGCTCCTGGCCACGGCGAACCTCGCGGCGGCCAAACCCACGGCGGACGAGAAGCAGCGGCACGCCGGGACGCGCG